CCAACACTCGGGCAAGTAGTGCCAGTGGATACAGACATTTCAACATTGTTTGCCAATTAGTAGGATTTTTGACGGTCGGACATTGAGACTTAGCTTGTGGGCCATTTGAGCCTAACCAGCAGACTGACAGTGGCTGTCATGGTGTACCTCAACGCGGTGACGACGACGTTGTAGGATGACAGTGGATGTAGGAAGCCAGGATTTTATCGCGAGAAAACGCCCACAAGAGATGTTGCTCGTCTAAGCTGCGGACAAATCTCCTGGCGTAGGGCCGAGTCTTAGCAGTTTTGTTTTTTCACTTAACCGAGAGTTGTCATTTCGTGGTACATTCGGCAAGCAGACTTCCCTCATGTTCCTAATGAGTTTTGATAGACGTTTTCATCCATGCACTGGGGGGGGGGGGGGGTGGGCTGATGAAAGTCCGACTGGATTCTACATTCTGAAGGGGGGGGGGGGGGGGCAGTAGCTCCGAGATCCCCTGCCAGCTCTGTTTTAATGCTCATCCATTATCCGTGGCGCACGACGGGGACGTGCAGCAGGAGTCTTGCATGAGGTTCCGTAAAACCAGTACAGAGAAGGCTGGCGCCCTAGCTGAGGTACGGAGTATTTTCTTATACACATCCCATCGGACTTAACTTTCCCTCCTCAAGCCTGTGACAAAAATCACCGCTCCACGACACGACTGTCTAAAAGTTCATGAGACAGAAGGTAATGGATTTTTTTGTTTAATTATATATCAAGAAACCATGAGTTGTTAACCCTTTGGTTCGGTAATATGGATATCGCAACCCTTCGGCCTTAATTCCGTGATTAATACCGTATATCTGGGAGAAATGTAGTTTTTTCTGCCTACCCCCGGTCGTGAACCCGGACCACAAGGAGTTACTCACCCGGCCACCGCAATGTCAGGTTTAGCCAACTAAGCTAGCGAGTCGGGCAAGGTAATGGATAGACATGACTACCGACGGCACACGGCATGGACTATAATAAGAAATTTGGTGTGTGTGGCTCAAAATCCCTGACATAATATATAGTAGAACCTCGCTTAATGAGCACCTCTCGTAACGAGTAATTTGCATAACGAGCCAAACAAATTGTTTTTAAAAAAAATGACTTGCTTAACGAGCGATGTTTTGCATAACGAGTGGCGAGGAGAAGGGCCGTCCTTAATTGTGTGCGTGTTATATCACTGTGTGTTTAGCACTCGTTGGAGCATCATAGTGTCACTTGTGATCACACATTTTCTCAAACTTGTGTTATATTGTGATATACATGAATCCTCCAGGCCTACAAGAAGACCTCTCTTGAGTATTAAGTTCATCAAGATCCAGTTTCTCCCTCCAACACCACTCCGTTACTCCAGCCCTTGGACCAGCAAGTTATTTATAATTTTAAGAAGCTATACACTAAAGCATTCTTCGAACATTGTTTTTAAGTGACTGATGGGACCACCTCACTCTCAGAGAGTTTTGGAAAAACCACTTCCAAATCGTTGCCTGCCTGAAGATGATCGACAAGGCGGGGGAAGGGGTTACCAAGAGAACCCTAACTTCTGCTTGGAAGAAGCTTTGGCCGGAGAGCTTTGTCGATTTGTAACTATGAGAGGTTCGAGATAGTACCTGTGGAACATGTAGTCATCGAGATTGTGTCTTTGGCCACTATCATAGAATTGGAGATAGACACACAGCCAGGAGCTGACCACCCACGAGCTTATGGAGTTGCAATGTGTGTCACGGCAAGAAGTTTTGGGGAAAAGTTTGTCAGAGGAGGAGGAGGAGGTAACAGAAAAGCAACAATCTTTTGGCGAAATAAGATAAATGCTGAAAGCATGGCAAACTGTTGCATCTTACATTGAGAAGCATCACCCTAATAAGAAAGTGGTTATGCGCGTTGCAAATTTATTTAATGATAATGCTGTGTAGCATTTTCGTCAAATTTTGAAGCGTCGGCAAAAACAAATGTCTCTGGACATCTTTCTAGAAAAACAAAAATAATTAGCCATGTATCATTATTATTTCGACCTTTTTTCTGCAAATCGAATTCGCATTCCAGGTTGGTTCGTTCCGCGTTTGAAGAAAAGAAGAAGACTATTCACTCTCCTTAACACACCTGGGCTTCAGGGTTCCAGAGCAGAAAGGAAACTATGGCGGTAGGACTGGATCTCGAGGATGCTTATAACAGAGTGAGATACGACATCTTAATGACTGCACTGAAGGAGAAGGAGGTCAGTCCATGGCTGGTGAATTGGGTTGCAGCTGTCCTGTATTCACGTCGGGTTGCTCTCCAACTGGGCTCATGGACCTCTGAACCATGCACTTTGGCCCCAGGACTGCCACAGGGATCCGCCATCTCGCCTGTGCTCTTCATCGTGCATACGAGCAAGATTGCAAGCCTAGAAGCACCAGGAGTTGGAAGGATACTGACTTTTACGGATGATATACTTGCATATGGTCGGCTCTGTGGCTAAGTCGATGCGAACACTTCGCTTCGTAATGCCGGGATGCCAGGTTCGATCCCAGCTGCGGGCAATGCGCCTTGCGTTGGTTTCGACAGTGGTATCAAGAAAGCCGACCGTCCAGTGGCAATGGCAAACTACTGGACGTAAATTTGCCTAGAGAAACCACACAACAGCCAGGGGCTGTTAGGGTTGGTTCTGCAACGTCCTCTAGAGGATACGCAACAACCTTTTTTTTTTTTTATACTTGCATATAGGCAGGGGGAAGAGAGGGAGCAAACAGCCTGGGAGCTACAAGCGACAGTAGACAAAGTGACTGAGTGATGTACAGAAATGAAGGCTGTCGTCCACCCGGAAAAAGCGTCTGTTTTGTGGTGTTCTCTGGACAACAGAATCGTTAAAACTAATGTCCCAAGTCTCACGATAGATAGTAGAGACGTCAACAGAGAGAGCAAACTGAAGTATCTGAGAATTACATTTGACAGGAGCCTGTCATTTAAGGACCATATGGAGAGTGTTGTGACGAGATGCCAAAAAGGACTTAGTGCACTTAAGACTATGGTTGCAATTGACATAGAGCCGAGAATGCTTTTCACACCATATCAACACCTGATCCTGTCAGTGGTCGATTATGGCCTGGGACAGCTTACCGTCTCAAAGAGTCAAATGGACAAACTAGAGCGCATACAGAACGCGGCTGTGCGGGTCATTCTGGGTTGCACCAGAGACATCCCATTGGTGTGTATGCGATACATCCTTGCTTTGCCGACGGTTGCAGTTAGGCACAAGGTGATGCAGACGAAGTCATATCTCAGGGTAGCTGTAGACACAGACCACCCTCTGCATGAAGCTCTGGGTGCAGTTAAGAGTCAGCGGCTGATAAGAGGGAGGTCATGGATGGCTCAGACAGAAGACACAATCAGACTAGTTTGCTTCCTTGAGAACATTAGGCGAGGAGATGAGTGGGTCAAAGTGCCACCTGAACAGTCGAACTTGTGTAGAGTCATAATCACGCTGAGCCGGGAATGCAGAGTCTGGCCAGCAGGTGCCACAGAGGTGGAAATTCAGCAATTAATTCAAGATAATGCTCGCTCAGAGGATTTGATCATTTACACAGACGGTTCAGTGTCAAGAGGTGAAAGAAGTGCTTGGGGCTTCTTAGCAAAAGTTAATGGTCGACGTTTGGTGCAGGGGAGCCTAGCAAATGATACCAGAACATCCAGCTTAAGAATGGAGGTGGAGGCGGTCACTGCAGCTTTCCGCTGGCTAGAGAACACGACACACACATATCGTGTGCTGAGGAAGATCAGAACAGGTATGCTTCCTGCAGAGTGGCATGCTTCGCTGCGGAGGACACGAGTGAGGAGTATTGTCTGGATTTTTTCTCCGGGTCACGCCGGTGTGTTAGGAAATTAACAGGCGAGCAGACTGGCTGACTCTGCACAACTAGGTGGAATACTGATACATGATAGGGCAGACGTGGTTAGTGCCTTGTGGGAGAGCGTGTACAATTCGGAGGAGCAGATGGATCACCAAAGTCTGGTGAGATTGATGTAGTTGGGTGTGACGAGATGTTCTGGCAGATGCTCGAGGCTCAGAGGAAAGGCAAGACGGACGTTTAACCAGAATGCTACTGGCACCATTAGTATCGGAACTCTTCGCTACCTGATGAAGATGGGGACGGAGCGCTTATGGAAAGGCCCGAGTGCTGTGATCTCGGTTCTTGAATCATATCAAATAAATTCTTAACAATATGTATATATTTTTCTTTGAATAAACGTTATAATAGCATTTTGTAAGTTTTTTTTTCGACATGGAACGCATTATCGTATTTTACATTAATTTATCTGAGAAAAATTGTTTCGCATAACGAGTGTTTCGCATAACGAGTATCATCCTGGAACAAATTATGCTCGTTAAGCGAGGTTTCACTGTACACATTGCTATTATTCAACGCCTTAATTTGCCGTTATGAAGTGGTTGTTTAGAGGCCGCCATATATACAATCTCTGCTCCTCTAGCAGAGACCTTTCAGAAGGTCTGCTCAAAGCAGAGATTCGTACACAATGAGTTAACACGAACAGTAAAACAAATTAACATTATGAACCACGGCCTACTCTATTTATATATTAGAGAAGGCGTTGTATGAACCTAGACATTCCCGGCCCAACCATATAGCAGTGCCCGACCTGTCGCTGACGTCATTATCATCATCATGTGCCGTTGTGACGTATGTGCTATAAAAGAAAAAAAGGTGGGCGGGCAGCAGCTCGCTACACGGTAAATATTCACTAATATAATCCTCTCCTCTACACGTTATATGGTGAATTATTTGGTTCAGATTAACAGTTTTATTCATTACTAATGAATTATATATGCACATACTAAAATATTCATGATTAAAAATCAAAATAAAGTTTGTATTCTTGAATTTATATCTGTGAAGTTTATATTCTGTTGTTGGACTGTATTCATGCGCATCCTGATCCGGTTTGGGTCGGAACTACAACTTTGATCATTTTTCACTCAAGAGAGATAGAAGAACATGTCATATAATTCTGCTGAACAAGATCGGTAAGAAACTTCGACTTTATGTTGTAGTAACAATCTGTGAACTTTCTATGGTGTGTGATACTTTTGGCATGCGTTTGAAAGTGTCGTTGGTGAGGTCTTTAAAATGTCAAACCTACGAGTAGACACTTGGTGACTGGAACAAGCCGCCAAGCTTCGCCATTTAATCTTATGGCGGAATAGAGCACGTGTGGGCCAGACTAGTTTGAATTTCATGTTTTATGTTTCATATCATAGTTTAGCTCGCAGTATTACGTGTGTCGTTATTACCCCAACATTATTTGTAATAATGAATGTTTGTAGTAAATTAAACTACTAAAAGAATTTATATCTTGATGCGGCGATGCGCTAGCTTTAAATTGTTGGGAACGCACTCGATGGGTCATGCGGTCGTTTTAATTTGTCAAGCCAACCGCCTTTATTTCCCATAAAGTTTGTTATTGGTTTTAAATTTTACAACATTGTGGTAGGGGGCAGGTCCAGGGCATTTATATTCTCGGGGAACTAAACTTATTAGGCCTTAATTTGGCAAACATTTTACGTAAATTTAAGATTAAATCGAAACCATTTAGGAAATGATTGTGATGTGATTACATTTAGTATGAAGTAGTTAGTAAGACAGGGAGGAGCTCCATGAATTATCGACGTATAGAATGACTTGGTGTGAGTTGGTTGAGGGACTATGCTCCTTTGTGAGATAGAAAGGCAGAAGACTAATTTGTGTTACAATGTGTGTCACATCATCATATTTTATTCGTATCGTATTTATCGTATTTATGAACAAGCTGGAGTATAGTTTACATTTTGTTGAGGCGGTGAAAATGCAACATTTTTAACTGAAAAAAAAGTGGGAGGGGGTGATTTATGTTTTTCATTAGATTAAACGTGATTTCATTAGTTTCTTTTTTTCCCCAATACCTAGATAGTGCAGTACTGAGTACTGTACTTAGGATGATTGCACCACATTGTGAAATTAAAATCAGTTCAGTTCTTGAGTAATTATGTGTATTTTCCCACTTCCTAATTATAGTAACAAGTGTCTGGGATTTTATGGGTGCACTACAGACTACATTGATAGACCACCAGTTATGAACATTTTATATAATTGTCTGTATGTGGTAACCCCCACACATGTTTGTAAAGCTGTAAAAAAATAAAAGAATAGTTAGTATAGAGATTTAAAATAATGAAATCACTGATATTCTGCCATTGTCTATAGGTAATTTTTTTGTAAACTAGTTTTATCTGTGTAATGTTAAAACAGTTCAGAAAGCAAAGTTTCACTGTTTAATAAATTGAAGTCCATTATAACCACACAACAGTCAGTAAATTCTAGTGTTTGTGTCCTGAAGTCAGCTAACGTTTTATGACAGTGTGGCACACTACTTATGGCTACCAGTAGCATTATTTGGTGTGTACATATGTTATAGTTTCTATCTTCCCTTTTAGATATCTGCAAACTAATAATAAAGAGAACTAAGATTTCTTTAAATACCAGTGCCTTTTTTATTTCTGTTTGTGGCTAATCGTATAGCCAGCTTTGAAATGCATTTGATTGTAAATGGCAGACACCCCCTGTTTAAGAACCTAAAGATCCTCAGCACATGGTTAATTTTTTTTCAGGCTTAGGACTCAGCATGCATAAATAAAAATGTCATGGTGGCATGTAAGCCTTGCACCAGCATTTTCTATGTGTAAATCACATTATTGAATCTTTCGGTAGTTTTCATTTTTACAGTTGACCTTCCTAAAAGCACTGTGCAGTTGCTCTAGCTGTGGCAGCCGTCAAATGGAAGAACATAAAACTTTGTTCAATTTGGGTGAGGTGGTAGATTGCTACATATCTCCCACCTCAATATTGGGCCACACATTCTGTAATTACAGACACTTTGAGGGAGGTAATGACTGCTGGGCTGTCCTCTGAATAACGGTCCCAAATTAATGAGGCTGAAAATATACCCTAACGGGGCCTCAGTCATATGTAAATTGCGAACTTCCGGCCACTTTAATTGCAGACTGCCGGTACCACCAGGAATACCCCCTACGTGCGGAGCAGGTCTGAACTAAATGGCAGCTACTACATCTCCGTGCGTAGCGGCATGGGATATACTCTCGGCGCTTGTGGTAGTCGCCGCAAGTCCACAATTCAGTGACTGAGGCCCAGTTAGGGTCTATTTTCAGCCTTGACAATTTGGGACTTTTTTTCAGAGGATAGCTTGACTGCTGCTTAGTCAGTTTATGTGACAGGACCCTGAGGCAGCCTCTTCCACAGTTTGCTATTTTTCCATGTTTCACAGTTATAGAAGCAGTGAGGATTCTGAGTCTAAATTTTGGATAGCCTTTTTTTTGTAAAACGGCCTGCTAGAATAAAAGGTAAAGACATGTAGTATCATATGCGCGTATGGAAAAAATGTTGGCCAGTACGCCACAGACCCAGGACTCAACCATGTATAGTTAAAGATTACCATAAGGGGCTATGTGTCTTCTTATAGTCCATGCTGTTGACTATGGTAATCTGAACTGACCAAAACCTTTTGACTTGTATATTGTCACTTAACTCTTTTTAGCATCACAGGCCCAAGGGGTAGTAAAAAAAGACGTAAAATCGGCGCATCATGCGTTCATTGTGCCTCTAGGTAGGAATCTATGAACGTATGAAGAGTTAATTCTAAGCTATAAAGAGTGACCAGGTGATATGGTCAGCGCTGAATGTTAGAAAGGCGATACTTAAGCTGCTGCCAATTCCTAATTTGACAACACACCTTATTCTAGAAAAGAGTTTTTCTATGCCAAACTTAGACTTGTACATTGAATTTGTACAATGTATAAACAGATGAACAGTAAACAAAGCCTTAGGCCTGCATTGTTGACATAATATTTTTTGTTGTTTTTTAATTACTGTATGCATAATATATATATTTTACCTTTCTGCTGTAAACACAGATTAGCTTAAATAAACATCCGTGTATGCAGAACAAGAAATCTGTGGATTTTAATGTTTGATCGCATTAGTGCCAGCATGCTTTAAGTGAGGGTTTGTGGAATAAATCAGAATTGAATTGAAATGCTTTTTGGCCCTTAATAGGTAATGTGATCAGCATTGCACTGGCCACCTTTACTTCCCAAGGCCATATTTGCTACACATTTAAGGCTAGGTTGGCCTGGAAGCCAATGTCAAAGTTATCTAGTCAGAATGGGCAGAGCTAAAGTGTCTTTTTTTTTAAGCCATTGTAGTGTCCATTTACTCCTGAGCTAGTTGCTGCAGAAGCAGTGAAAACAGACAAATGTTGACCAGATTTTAAAAATTTGTCATCCACAGAGACAGGTCTCAAACCAAGGGGCCCTCAGAAGATTACATCCCTTTGGCTGACGGTATCATTGAGGTTAGTTACCTGCATACTTTTATTAGACAGCTAATTACTGGTTATGGTTTTTATGCATGTAATACAAGCCACATTGTTTTCATTAAATAATGATGAGCTCAGAAAAGTAATTAGCTGTTTCAGAAGCAATTATTTGGAAACTGCGAAAACAAGAGAGTACTTATGAATTAACTTGGATTTCAGGTTTAAAAATTGGCTCAGTCTGTTTGGCCCTTTTAACATAATCTTTTACTGGGCAGTTGCATTTATATGTCAAGCATAGTATGTTTATATATTAACATTAATTGAATAAATGTAAAGTAAAAACTAAGTCCTGTTTGTCCATCGATTTGTAGACTATATAGTTTTGTTCTAGAACCTGAGTGTTACGGGCACATACTTTTACAGATCTGGTTTATCTTTATGTAGACTGTTGGTCTCTCATCTCACAGGCAGATGCGCTCCCACTTTAAAGAAAGTCCTCTATTAGTGGATTATTACATTCTTGTTGGGAAGGTTGATTTCCACACATAGAGGCAAAATAAAAGAAGCATTGATGGCAAATGCATAGAAAGGGAAAAATAATGACTGACTACAACAAGAAAATTTAAGTATTAACTAGAGTCTGTATAAAACATTGACTAAAATCTACAGGTGGACACCGTATACTCTATATATCTGTCAGGTTCCTCTGATCATTGAATATTTTCTCTTTGCAGAGCAACTACGATGGAGTCGTGGATGCTTTTGATGATATGAACCTAAAGGAGGATCTTCTGAGAGGCATATACGCTTACGGTTTCGAGAAACCATCTGCCATTCAACAGAGGGCTATTTTGCCATGTATTGGAGGTAACTTCTTTTGTAACATTTCTAAATCTGAGCAGAGTTGCTTAATATTTTCATCAGAGTTACAGAATCTTGCCTGGTGGCAGTCTAAGCGAAGCTGTTTCTGTCATTGGAATAAAAGCTTGCTATAACCACCTCACTCACCTTTAGACAGTCTACAGCAGTTATTAAGTCCTTATATATAACCACCTCACTCACCTTTAGACAGTCTACAGCAGTTATTAAGTCCTTATATATAACCACCTCACTCACCTTTAGACAGTCTACAGCAGTTAAGTCCTTTTATATAACCACCTCACTCACCTTTAGAAAATCTACAGCAGTTATTAAGTCCTTTTATATAACCACCTCACTCACCTTATAGATAAATCAGTATTCTTTTAGCAGTGTCTGTCAATGTAAACAGCATTTAGTGTATCTGAGAGAAAGCACAAATTTTAACATTGCAACATACCGTGTAATATTGTGTGACTGATGACGATCAGAAACTGATAGCCTCAGATCATGACAAGCTGTGTAGAATTAAACCGGTAATGGGCTGTTCCTATTGGTTACAAAACAATTGAAAACCCGGTTTGCAGCTTTAGTGGTCTTTCTAGAAAAACCATGGGAGCTGCCCAGTCTAGGTAGAATTGTTGCCTTCACAATCAGTGGTGCATCTGCATGAGGTGAACAGCCACAGGAATTGAATATTGAGTATAAATACCTAACAAAAGGTAACATAAAGAAATTTGAAAGAGGACACACACAATGTACCGAGGAGGTAGTGCCTTCTATATTAAAAAAAAATTCATCGAATGAAATTCCCGTGTAATCTAGTGTCATTTCTCATTGATACTTTTTTTCCTTTCAATGTTCTGTTTTTATATAATTTATGTAAATATTTTGTCATCTGACTTTTCACTAGGTTTGGGGACACTTATAAGATGTTCTGTTTTTATATAATTTATGTAAATATTTTGTCATCTGACTTTTCACTTTTGGGGTTTATTGATGAAAATATCATCGGCTTTTATTTATCTTTGTTAGTGACATTCTCTTCATAGTTTGTGATGCCCTAGTATTTGTAGACCTGCCTCTATACTGTCTACTGTCTTTTTAGTGTTTTTTCTACATAAATTCTGTCTAATATCTGCCATTCTCTATAAATGTCCCAACCATTGCAGTTTGTAAGCTCTCCTGATGAGAACCAATGTTATTGGTGATTTAAACAAATTGAATTCTGTGTCATTTAGTGCTCTTTGTTAATTCACAATTATGTCTTACAGATCCAAAAGGTGGTCCTTGCTCTTGGAGATTATCAGGGTGCCCAGTGCCATGCCTGTATTGGAGGCACATTGGTGCGAGAGGACATGCGCAAGCTGGAGAGTGGTGCCCATGTGGTTGTGGGAACTCCTGGGAGAGTCTACGACATGATTAACCGCAGGGCACTCAACACTAAGGACATCAAGATGTTTGTCCTGGATGAAGCTGACGAGATGTTGTCTCGGGGTTTCAAAGATCAAATCTATGATGTATTTAGATTTATGCCTAATGAAATTCAGGTAAGAATATAAAGAACTTGTAGCTGTAATATATTTTCATGGTACGGCGTGCAAATTTTCATCTAAAGAATACTGTCCAGATTGTCTAAGGTTGTTTTGTCTCCTGTCTACTGGAGAGCTGCATTTGTCATGAGTCTGCACAGAATTGTGCAGATTTCTTTTGTTACAGTTGCCAGTGATTAACATCTTGTTTTTTTTCTCCTTATTACAGAATGTTTCTAGTTTGTGTATAATTTCAGTGTCATTTTCTCAACACCCACTTTTCTATAGTTTTCTAAAGCATTGTAATGTAATGTTTGTTTATTTTGTTATGTAGTTCCACTTAAATGTATGTGGTCATGTATCTTCTTAAAGTTTAGTTGATCTTATTTTTTAAAATACTCTATCTTCCTCCTTTTATCGCCCATTCCTGATGGGCACTTAGCCAGTACATGCCAAGCTCTGTATTGCTGAACTTTATTTCTGTGCCTCTGGGTTCCAGTGTAATGAAATTTTGGTTATATTTTCCCCAAAGTTTTTTCTTCTACTTGTATCCTGTTCCTCTCATGCTTAGTTTAGCTTTTAAATTTTGTGTGTTATAAATATGTATATTAAATTTATTATCTCGTAGTTAGTGTCTTGCAAAAGTCAACAGTTTCACTTATCTAGGGAGCAAGATGTCATCTACAGGAGATACCGCACCAGAAATATCATTTAGAATAGCACTGGCATCTAGTGCCTTCAATAAACTGTCTAACATCTGGAAATCAAAGACACTTAGCAAACACACAAAACTCAAGATCTTCAATTCTTGTGTGATTCCAGTACTAACCTATGGATGCGAGAGTTGGAAATCAACGAAAACTCTAGACACAAAATTAGACAGTTTTGAAAATAAATGCCTTAGAAGAATACTAAATTTCAAATGGTCAAATTTCCGAACCAATACACAAATAAGGCAAGAATCCAGGCAAGAGTATGTGTCTAATTTTATACGAAAACGCCGCTGGAACTATGTCGGCCACGTCCTTAGAATGGATAAATCAAGACTTCCTTACCAAGCCCTCATTTGGACACCACAGGGAAAAAGATCTCGTGGAAGACCAAGGGAAACCCTATGTAGAACTATCATCAGGGAAGGCTCGCTCATGGGCCACTCAAACATCCAAGACCTACAACGGATTGCAACGGACCGCCGTGCATGGAGAGTCACGACCTCTGCCTTATGTGCCGCACTCGACACAAGAGGAAAGACTAAGTTAGTGTCTTTGTATTTTGTGTCCTTTACTTATACTTCTGTATTAATTTGTTTATAAATGTAGACATACTTGTAATAATTGGACTGTTTGTTATAAATTTATTTGCCAGGTGATCCTGTTGTCGGCCACCATGCCAACTGATGTGTTGGAAGTAACCCAGCGATTCATGCGAGACCCTGTGCGAATCCTGGTCAAGAAAGAAGAGCTGACCCTGGAGGGTATCAGGCAGTTCTATGTACAAGTGGAACGAGAGGTTTGTACTTTTGTGATGCTCTCAGAATTTTGGTGGAATTATTATAGAAGAAACCTCAAGGATAGATCCTGCAGAATGGATCTGTAGTCATAGACAGATTCATTTTAAAGTTAAAGACTGGATTAAAATATTTTTACACTATGTATTATGCACTTTCCCGAATAGTGTAATGGGGCTCATTGTATTCTTCCAGTAATTATTGCTTATTTTGTTGTAGGAGTGGAAGCTGGACACACTGTGTGATCTGTATGAAACTTTGACTATAACTCAAGCTGTTATCTTCTGCAACACCAGAAGGAAGGTTGACTGGCTGACTGAAAAGATGGCCTCACGAGATTTCACCGTCTCTGCTATGGTATGTGATTTAAGTTTTCCAACACACCTTCCTAAAAGCACTGTACAGTTTGTCTAGCTGTGGCAGTCGTCAAGTGGAAGAACATGAATTTGATTCAATTTGGGTGAGGTGGTAGATTGATAGGTATCTCTCATCTCAATATTGGACCACACATTCTGTTTTTATAGAGGATGCTGATAATCCTAACCTATTTAACTGAAATTGTTAAAGTGTAAAAATATCACACAAAAAGTAAAGGGCCCTCCTTTTCCATGCCATTGGGCGTATTAGGCTATACACTTATATATGCAGTAAAACCTTAACAGAGATTCACTCAAGTAGCGTTGAACCTTACAGATTTATTTGTCCCTGTTGAGCATGGTTTTATTCATTTTAGTATTGCAGTCCACATTCTTGGGTTATGTTATTGTATGTATGTGTTACTCATGTTTTTTTTTTCTGTTTTAAAAATAATTGTCCACAAACATTGCTACAAGTTGTTGAATATTGCTTGGTCTATAAATGAGATATGCTTTGTGGTGAAAAGTAATGCTTCAGATGACAGCTCATATAGTCATTTTTGTTTAAAGAATGTATTGCAGTCCAGTCTTGTACTTTCTAGACTCTTATAGAGCAAATCCACAGAAAGATGAACATCCTCATGAAAGTCATCAGCATTTGTCACCCACAAAGTATTGCTGATCTCATGCTTAACAAGGATTCATAATTTATCTTGGTGAATGTAAAGACAAGTTAAAACATGTACATTGTATGTTTATGTGCTGATTTAAATATAGAACGAGTACTTATCTTCCCCTTCCCCCAAATATACCACAATGACAGTGCTTTTTATTCTTGGTTGCTTTAACTATCAACTCTAGATACATTTGTGTTTTTTTAGCGACTTCCTAAAAGCACTGTGCAGTAATTATAGCTGTGGCAGTCGTCAACTGGAAGGATATGAACTTTGTTCAATTTGGGTGAGGTGGTAGATTTGTAAATGTCGGCCACCTCAATATTGGACCACACATCATTCTGTATTTTATTATGCAGCAAAAACCAATTTTAAACAATGGTTGGTCACAGCTTGAGCTATATTGCTGAAGCCTCTTTACCACTGCTTTCCTAATCCGCTGGTTACTTGTAAATCTTAGATGTCTTACACTTGCAGTTCTATCATTCAAATTTTTATACTGTTCTGTTAATGGACCAAAAAATCTTTTTTTTTTTAACACCACATTTTAGAACACAAGGTAAATATTGTGTGGGCCTCATTACCTTTATTACCAGCTTGAACTCCAGGTCATGTCCACAATATAATGCTACAGTCTTTGTCTAGTTCCTGTTTTCACATTTTCCTAGGCTAATGGTTTTTTTTTTGTTTAACCTTCTGGTTGCTTTTTCACAATGACCTTTTTAAAAGCAGTTGTCAAATTAGAAAATATAAATACTGTTTAATTTGGTTGAGGTGTCAGATTGCTAAATATCTTCTGGTGGTAGATTGCTATATCTCCCATCTCAGTATTGGACCACACATGGCTCATGTAACCTTTATCTAAATATTTTGCTGTCTTGTATGCATGGATATGTACTCTTCACAACATTATTGATGGATCTGTGCTTCAGGATCATCACATTGTAGTAGCCATGTCTTTTATGAATTGTTCTGTTTTGATAAAGGCCATGCATGCATTATTTTATAACACACCTTCCTAAAAGCACTGTGCAGTTTGTGTAGCTGTGGCAGATGTCAAATGAAAGGATATGAACTTGGTTCAATTTGGGTGAGGTGGTAGGTTGATACATATTTCCCATCTCAATATTGGGCCACACATTCTGTCATTGTTGCTTCTAGCCATATGTTATGGAATTTTCTATTTTTATACTAGCTCTTAAGGGCCATGCAAATGTTGTTATTGAAACACTTTCCTAAAAGCATTGTGCAGTTATTGTAGCTGTGGCAGTTTTCAAGTGGAAGAAAAATAATTTTGTTCAATTTGGGTGAGGTTGTAGATTGCTATATATCTCCCATCTCAATATTGGACCACACATGGCTCATGTAACCTTTATCTAAATATTTTGCTGTCTGGGTCATCATATTGTTGTAGCCATGTATCTGTCTATTATGGATGTTTTGATACAAGATTTTAATGGCCATGCATGCATTAAACACACCTTCCTAAAAGCACTGTGCAGTTTTTGTAGCTGTGGCAGCCGTCAAAATGAAAGGATATGAACTTTGTTCAATTTGGGTGAGGTGGTAGATTAAAAATATTTCCCATCTCAATATTGGACCACACATTCTGTCATTGTTGCTTGCATGTTATAACCTTGTCCATGTGTATACAATATTGCAGTCTTGCTGTTTATTATTATTAGAATGGAACTTTATAAAAGCACTACATTCTCTGTAAATGGTAATCATTTGGAAGAGTGGGTTTGTTCATTTGTAAGTGGTGGCAAATTGATAAATAAAAATCTATTTTTAACAAACACAGGGCTTCATTATGAGGGTAATGTAAATCGCTAGGATCCTTCATGCCACACGATAAAACTTTCTGTGCTATTTGGAGCTTTATTTTGAGGCTTCATTTGTTCAAGACAAGGCAGTAGAAGACACAGATGTGTTGGTCTGAAAGGTGCAGATACTATAGCCTAGCTGTAAACATGTTAACTCCCTTTTAACATGAACGCACAAATGTTTACTTAGGCTGGCATATTTTTTGTTAGACCCATTTAAATGTCTTTTTCTCTTTCTCATTTACAGCACGGGGACATGAACCAAAATGAACGCGACCTTATCATGAGAGAGTTCCGTTCTGGATCCAGCCGAGTGCTCATCACCACTGATCTGCTGGCTCGTGGGATTGATGTCCAGCAGGTGTCGCTAGTCATCAACTATGATCTGCCTGCCAACCGTGAAAACTATATTCATAGGTACTTATTGTTGGTTTTTCTTTAACGAGTTAGAGCAGACTTTTTAATTGGATATGTTTATAATAAAGCTTCATTACAACATATAGTCCAGTATGGGCATGCAATATAAATTCTCCACAATATAGTGCAGCATAGACATAGACAGTGCACTGTGTTTAGCATGTAGACTGTCAAATTTGTATCTACAAGATTCTACAATATATTTTCAGAATTGGCCGTGGAGGACGTTTTGGCCGAAAAGGGGTTGCTATCAACTTTGTGACAGCTGATGACATCCGCACTCTTCGAGACATTGAGCAGTTTTACAACACCACCATCGAGGAGATGCCCATGGATGTTGCTGATTTACTTTGAGTCATCATTTAGGATTTTTTTTAATGGATAGCTATTCCTGAAGGCGGATGAATTTTTGGATTATACTTTTGGATTAAAATCAATTTAATGCTGAAAGAATGAGTTCTGAAAATACGTGAGAACCCATATTTACCATTACTATACATTCTCTGACTTAACTGTATGGATGTGAGTTTTCTTTTCTTTGCCAAGGTTTTTCTTATATCACTCGTATATATTTACAGTTGTCATTGGACATAATTTATTATTCGTGCCCATCTTTTCTTCTTTCATGGATTAGTACTTGTTTGGTCTTAAACTTAGTGTTTCATATTGTGGTTGATTTTCTGATTGTGTACATGTATGTATATTTTATGTTGGTAGATGCTGTTCTTTATAATTGTGTGATTTGCTTGCTGTGTGTCACTGAGATAAAATCAAAACACAAGCCTAGGCAGTTTAATCTATGCTGTTCTGTTTGGGGGAGGGTCTTGTAGCACAGGATTTGTTTCATGCTGTTTGTGGTGACTAGTGGGGGTAACATTGTAAAGCTGGATTTGTTCAGGGTTCGGTATTTTCCATACATTGATTTGTTGTTACATAGTGCCTGGGCTGTTCTGGTGGGGGTTATACAGAAACACTGAAGTGTTACAGTTTCATAATAACATTGAATTTTTCTGGTAGTGTTACATTGCATCTGCATTGTGGAGTTTGTTCTGAGCTGGCATATAATATTAGAATATGGAGAGGTTGTGTCAGTCGTTTTCTCCTAGGGCAACAGTAGCCCTCCCCTTGTGAGACAGCTATCACAGGGCAGTGTATGTGTGCTCACATATAGCTCTCATCCATTTAAATAGTATGTACATTTGTTAATATCAAGTGTGGCGGCAGTAGATCTACTCCTTGTGCTGTGTTGTGTTTATGACTGCTTTTGAGTGGCACTAGATCTGTAGATGTGGTGACTGCCTCAGTGACACTTTATCATTGTGTATCATTTGAATGCCTGTATATAATTGTGTGTGTGGTTAGATGTGGGAGCTAGTATCAACACCTTCCTGTGTGGTTGTGGTCAAGGCTGTTTCTGATGCCATTTCTTCTCAAGGCTATCTGAACATATTTTAGAGCTGTCTGTTTTTTTTTTTTTATTAATCTGTGAAATTTATGAGAAAATAAACATTGCAAGTAAATATAGTATATTTGACACTTTGTGTTGTCTTTGTAGTATACAGTCTCTGGTGTTTAATAATTGTCTGTTGATGATTTCATGCAAGTCGTCCTTTGTTTAGAGAGTTATACTTTCTTGTCCCATAATTAAATTAGGTCATAATGGGGGAAAAATTAGGGGCCACGTGTGTGATATTTGCCAGAGTTGGTATTAAAATGAATTTATTTTACTGAGGAAAACCCCACTTGTATATCCCTATGAAGTCTGGCTATGCCAGACCATTCTGTTCTCCTTTGATAGACGTAAAGTTCATTGCAGTCGGGCTGACAGAAGTAATCAGGTTACAAAACAACAATGTGGCAAAAAGTACAAAGGTATCACTACCGTCACAATGGGATGAATCGAGGCAGCTGCGCTAGGGACATTGAGCATGGGCTGTCCCCTTCTTCAGTGATTAGAGTTATGGTAAAACTACCAGTTGCTACCTGGTTAAAAGTCCGCCTATGTGTCCTCTTCAATGTTGTATATCTTCTAGAACCTCAGCATTCTGTTGTATTTGTCTTTCTCTTGCTCTGATCCCAGAGCCCCCTCAGCACATCTGCATATCATAACGTAGCTTACCGCCCTGAAAAGCAAGTGAATCTGTCAGCATGCTCATTACTTGGCACACCTGATTTTCCTGTGCATGAAATGCCAGAGGTTATTCTGATCGGGGTTTTATCAATTAATGCAAACCACTGTAGGGTACTTTTATTTCATCATATTACTTCCTTGTTTAAGTTATTTGGTTTGTTAGTTTACCATCCAGGATTAGTGATCAGGCAGCAACCAAGAGAAGACTGAAATCAAAATGTAGTATGTGTCAGGAAATCAGTTGCATTAGCTGGGAAATATGAAGCAGCAAATAACGGACATCTAAACCAGTCTCCCAAACGTTTGTGTGTCCTGCCCCACATAAAGACTCGTTAAGAATGTACATGTATTTCTGTGGCATCTGTCAGCACGTAAACACAACTAATCACTACACGGCAGAGTCTTAGAGACCAGATTAGAGCGAACACTTTCTGGTAAGGCAGAGACAGAATTTGGTCATAGAATGACAGAATATGACGCAGCTCTTGAGTTGGTATATTGATTAAACAATCGCTTTTTGTAATGGGGTGGAATAGACCTTAGAATCCGCTAGCGACTGGCACAGTTTGTGGAAAGAAGACAAAAATCAGGCTGAGTGAAACCAAAACAACTGATTTGTGAAATGGCGAGGCACGACATCCCACGCTTATTGGCGTAGCGTATTTGCTGACACTTGTCTGTGAAGAAAACACTGTCCTTGGCACCAAAAAATACTGAGTATATGCTCAGTGTCAACTGTATACTGCCAACAAAGACACTATTTGGCCTGTCCCGACCACAATGAAGAGACGGTGTATAGTACACGGAGAGAGAGAGAGAGACGGACTCATAAAAGCTACCAACCTCCTTTTTTGACGAAAGAATCAAAGAAAATAATGTGGCGAAGCAGTCAAGCGAGTATACGGTAATTCAATGCGTGGAAGGAGAAAACACACTTTTCAGTGGCAGCCTTCAAAAGCGTGAGGCTGATAACTAGTGTAAGGTTTTAGGTCCACTTTTCCCCGCTTGTTGACATAATTGTCTTAGATTGTGTTTAATTAATTCAGACTAAAAGACACTAAGGGTGTAAACGCTACAAAGGAATTTATCAGTTCGCCTGCACACACATTATAGAATTAACAGACAATGTTTTGGTTGGTGCCCATAGAAGGACACCTTGAACTCCTTGTGGTCCGGGTTCACTTCCGGGGGTGGACAGAAAAGCCAGATTTACGGTATTTACAATGGAATCAAGACCGAAAGGTTGCGATATCCATAATACCGAGCCTAATGGTTAACAACTCATGGCTTCTGGATACTAAAACAAACAAGGACACACTAGTAAACCACATAAACGCCGAAAGTTATAGTAACCATTCCACATGTCACCAAGCGTCTATAAAATAAGGTACCTGGGTGACTAAAGTTCAACCTCCACAAGCAACGCAAAAAGAAAGAAAACCTGATTAAGTGCCAGCATTTGGGTGAGAAGCACCCGGGCGCAGGTTCCATTATTCAACCGTTAAAGTTATTTTGGAGCACTCGACGACAGACGAGATGGAGTTTTAAATAACAAAAATATGCGTCCCATATTATGGCGGGATGTTTTAGTAAGGCATCTTCATTAGTCATGTCTACTGTACAACATGAGTCCATAACTGGAATTCGGATAAAATTTATTTCACACAATTAAACTGCCAGCAGAGTGTACAGTGAGCAACGTCAGGTTAAAAATTGTAGGACTTTGCCTGATACTCATTTAAGGCTGGAATGTTTTTGAAAAAGAAAATCTGTCCTCATGGTGTACTCAAAGTATTTCAGAATCCTCGCCGGTGCTACGGAGTTCATGCACTGCGCTGATAATTTTCGGACTCAAGAAGCTTGAGTCAGAAGAAGGTTAATACTAGGGCTGTACCGAATAGGAATTTTCACTATTCGGCCGAATGCTAATAGCGGGACCAACTATTTGGCCGAACACGAATAGTCTAGCATCATCAGGTGCCTTGACACAGTCTGCGATCTCCTGCAGCATGAATTATTTCGTGTAACACACCTCCATGCCATTCAACAAGACTTAAGAATCTTCTCTCGTTGTCTTCCTCTATCCCTCCTTCCACAGATTTTTCTAGTGGTCACATGTTCTATCTTCTTATAACATGGCCGAAAAATAATGACTGTCTCCTTCTGATGTCTGTAATTAGTTGTCTTCGGGCTCCCGCCTCTTTCAAAAACCTCTTGGTTGCTTTTTTTTATTTTTATTTGGCTGTCCAACGTATTGTAAGCATTCTCCTGTAAAACCACATATCTGAGGCATAAGAAACTGTTTGTCCTGCCTACCGATTGTCCAGGACTCGCAACCATATTTTAAAACTGGATGCCGTACCACGAAACCGGGTCGCAGTTGCCCCTGCTACGACAGCAACTATTGTGTTAATTAGTGAGTTTTTTTTTCCCCACTCTATAGCAATGTATGCAGAAACGGGTGTAAGAAAACCACTATTCGTATTCGGTCCGACCGCAAGTATTCGGCCCCGAAGCGAATATTCGGTACAGCCCTAGTTACTACCCTTGTGCCATGATGTTGAGCCGTGGCCGTTGGTAGGACCGACGTCTAAACCTAAACCTTTTTGTTTTGTTTTTAGCAAGGGGAAATAAATGATGGTTGACCAGACGAAAAAACAGCGATATTTCGGCCCATCCCCGATTTTGCCCAACCTTGACCTTTGTGAAAAACAAGGGCAATAACACAATTAATTCTAGTCAATAAAGTATACATTTACTGATCTACTGTACAATGTCAGTTCGTGCATGTTTCTATCTATTGGCGACCGAATCGCGCACTGGCTCGCAGTTACATATCTTAGATATCACTTCCCGTCCTTTTTAGGTTGACATTTTTCGTTATGTGAAGCCCTACTCTTTCTCTTTCCAGTAGCCGCAATATAGCCCGGTCATAAATATGGTCTAATGGTTGAACGCGGTTTCTTGGACCTCCACGGGTGATCCTCATCCACATGGTGGCACTTTGTGTCATCCTGTGTTTATCTCTTGTGTGATGTCCTGGTAGGGTACAAATCTACTACTTCTACTACTGCACTGGCTCGCAAGTAGAAGAGTTCGTCACTGATCTAGACAGTATTTGGGTCTGCCTATTTTGAACTAATCAACACTGCAGGAAACCTTTTCAGAGCCTCTTGTTGACGTGCAGTGCTAAGTGATTTTATATGGCGCACATAACTTACAG